TAGCTAACGGTAGCAAACGGATAGCTAACGGTAGCAAACGGATAGCTTAAAGTTGCAAAAGGGGAGCTAAATGGTAAAAGTAGCATAAAAGTAAAAGCAACAGCCAAAGTTTCAGAGGTTGTAATGAACTGGATGTGTTTCTGTGGGGAAAATATTCATATATAAACAAATAATCTGAAAAATTAGAAAGTTACAAAAACTTGACCCATCAGCTCTTGGATGAGCTGAATCTTTTTATTCATAAATAACTAAAATAGCACAAAGTCTGCAGAAGTAGTGAACAAACAAAATGCAGTGAAGCCAACCTGTTGACCCTCTAACTGCTCCCAGAACAGTTTTTTATCCTTGGGGTTCTAACCACCGGCCCAAAGATAATCATTTTCATTGTTTCAGCTCTTCTGACCCCACTGGAGCCGGGCCTGCCTCATCATGTGCCCTGTGAGACCTTCTTCCTGACCACGTCCACAGGTTGTCCCTACACCTACCATAACGGCGTGGCGTACTTCTACTGCGCCAGCGTGCCCCACTGCTCTGTGAGTACACCTCGTTAACGCCCTCGTTAAGTGTCTGACAGGAGATGATTTACTGTCGTTTGTTTGGTAGCATGCGCCTCAGCTGATGTTCTGTCACCCCCAGCAGCCGGTTCAGCACTACCCGCAGGTCAGCACACCGTTTCTCCACCAACGTTTTACACGTGGAAGAATCGCATTTTTACCAGCTGTTTGCTTGTTTGGCGTCCAGGTGCTGATGCCCTCCGGTGCAGGGATCTACGCTCAGCACGCCGAGTACCTGAACCCGCCCACTGATGGAGGCTCCTTCCTGCCTCCTGTCCCTGTGATGGAGGACGTCTCGCCAGAGGTACAGATTCTAGATGAACCTGTTCCGTGATAGCCACAACTGATTTCAGTCGCTCTAGCAGGAAAGACACAGACTCCTTTATTATTTTAAATGTACAGATTTGAAAGTAAACAACCAGTTTTTAAAGGGTGTTGAAAGGCCAAGTAAAACCGGAGTTATGATCAATACTCCGCGCCACATCTTTGTCTGAAAATCATCGTCATATCTGAAGCGCGTTGGAGCGAGAGGCAGCAGAAAAGAGTCTCACCCCCATCACCCTGCACTTTCACGTCATGTCAAAATCAAAGATGGCTGCCACCATATATGTATATAAACGTTTTGAAAAATAAGCAACGTGCCGACTTCCATATTGGTATACCTACTATCACCTCTGGTTCTGTGTCAGATGAGACAGCTATAAAAATCACTTGAACCTCATCTATTTTTTTTATTTTTATAAGTTTTTAACCTGATGTATGTTTGTAACTGGATCAACATGTGATTACCTCATCTTTGGCTCCCTTGAATTAAATGTCAGAAATATAACCCTCTGGAAGAACTTTTCTGAGCAGAACCAACATCTGAAGTGGATTTGAGCCCTTTCCCTGCTCTATCCACCTTATTCCTAGACCCCTGCTGCTTTGCGTGAATTATGGGCGCGAAATCCGGCACGGACCAAAACCAGAGTTTGTTTATGTGTGAACAGTACGAGCTAATGTAGTTTCTCCGAGCATTGTGGATTTATTTTAAACATGTAGGAACACCACCTGTCAGAGCTCAAACAATATAATCATACTGCTGCCTGCTGAGGACGAGCTGAAGAAGTGGCTGCAGATTATAGCTACTAGCATATGTAGCTACTTGTACTAGCACATGTAGCTACTTGTACTAGCACATGTAGCTACTTGTACTAGCGTATTTAGCTACTTGTACTAGCGTATTTAG